TAATAAATAACGTATATGTCTAGTTAGACGTTCATTAAGTACTTTAAATGCATATTTATTAAAAATGAAATGGCCTAGACGCATGCATAGGAAGCATAAATATACCTTAGCATAGTTAGAAAGTGGTGTAAAGATGATCAGTGTTATTTATGTCTGGCGCGGCGCCAGCGACGTCGGACATCGAAGCGACACCGTGTTGTTTGCGAAATCGTTCCATCAATGACGAAACCTCGTCGTTGACACAGTGTCTCCGGGGCCATGTGCTCAACGTTTTATACGTCTACGTCAGGCGTCGTTCAAATTACACCGCATATCCTGTAACTTCCTATCAGTCACGGTCTTGATTTCTATTGATAAAAATATTTCAAGGTAACACGTTATAATGTCATAAATGACAATAATATTATTGTTATTAATACGTACTATCAATGTACTGTGTTAATTAATCGCATGCTTCTCTTTCCATGAACTCATAATACTTATCGTTTATCCTAAACAATATGAAGTTAATGGTTTGAGGAAAATACATCGTTACACCTCGATAAAATATTAACAGTATGTTTTCTTAGTGTGTGTTGTGTAGAGATGTGAGTTGCATGTGAGACGCTTCTCATTTACAGCCTGAATACGGTCCATTTTCTTTGCTGAAATGGAAGGCGTCTCCTTTGAACCTTTGATGCTTTTGAAACGGTTCGTCGCGCTGAAACTTAGCGTATCACACTCTAAGGTACCTACTTAAAAGCACTCAGAAAGGACAGTACTTATACACTTGATTGCCAACACTTTGACCTTTGCCCATCGCTTAAGTGCTTGAAAAACAAAAGATATTTCTCTTTTTACACGAAATTGCCGGTCTTAATCCTTTTGTGGTTATTTCTACTGTTTCACTGTATGGTTTCTTTCGTGGATAATTATTGACCATATGCAAGAAATCACATCGCTTATTCATTCTGCGAATGTTAAACGGAAGCTATTCCAGGGATTGCAAGTAGTCAGGAAAAACATCATTTCTATAGAGGCGCAGCTGTGACGACTCGTCTGAATGTAGGCAGTTAAAGTGCAACCCTTTTGTGATTGTAAGTGCTCTCTCCCTTTCACTCACACTGACATGTACCTGTGCCCACACCTGGCTCACACGGTACTCGCTTTTGATGGTCATTTATAAAGCTGAAATCCCCTGTATCATCGTGTTTTCGCTATAAAAAACGGGTTACAAGGGTTGATTAAAACTCTTGTATGTTTGGGGTTATTTGTATGATACATCGTTGATTTAAAACTTCAAACGCAGGACTGGTTCCAAATAGGGTTCATTAATGGTCTTGACGTTAATTGGAAAACGTGAACTTTTGCGATCAACAATTGCATAAAGCGTTAAAATTAATTTGTGCTTTATTATTCACAAACGGCGGGTGAAACAAATAATAGCTTTTATAATAGGAGAGATAATGTGAGCTAATTCTGCATTTTACATAGATAAAACCTGTCACGTTAGCCAATTTATGCACTTCAGAATAGATCACAAGTCGATTGCCTCTACTAATCTTAGTACTTGGGATCTTATGATTCTTCGTTAAGAACTTCAAAAGTCAAAGGCGAAGTAATTAATGCAGTTTTAACTTGTATCTTCTTTGTTAGTTGAGATATTATTGACTTCATAAACAAAAATCTCAATATAAAATTAATGCAGTATTGGTTAACATCATATTTATTATCGCATTCTTGAGGATTCTAGGAGCCAGAATGAATCACAATATGAAACTGCAGTTAAATTATATATATGTTAGGCATATAAATCACAATCAACAATAGGATTTATGAGTAAACTAAGTTAGTCATAACAGTAAGATTTGTTTGCGGTTTGTACACGCAGGGTGGAGTGTCTAGGCGTCAACTGGAGTGCTTTTGGCGTACTCTCAAAGAGGAGGTTTATCTTGCCCCGTCCACGCGACCCGCGCGTCGCGACCTACTTCGTACAATACCTCAGCCGGGTTGACAAGCTATTGTTGAACTTTACACCGGGGTGCCGCGACTCCGGCTTGATAAATTCGGTTGTCTTACCGCTCCAACGAATAAAGGATCAAAAGTCTAGACGGGGGAATAACGATTGCGCGGGTTCTTCGTTAATAGCCTTTGATTGTCTTGCTTCGAAATACGATTTTGGTTTGTATGCTCGAATTGTTGCTTTGATGTGGGACTTTCAAGAAAACCTCTCGACTGAATATTAACTTAACACATTTGCTTGTAACAGATTTGATTTATGATCTTCTCGTAGTCTAGGTAAGTGGTTTACATTGTAAAGGGAATGTCATGTGCACACGTTTCCATATACGCGATACGACTAGAAAGCGTAACGTCTACTTGTCTCATTCGTTTCTGGGAATTGTATCCAATTAGGAGTAAAAGAAATTATTTGCCGTTTGTAGGTACATAGGTACCCGCCTGTTGACTAACAAATTAAGTTTTTAAGATTTTTTTTTGCGTAGACTTGGCTATTAGAGGAGAGAATTAATTAGATTCTATTTATTTTAAACATACATTTATATTTTCGTACTAGCGACATATGTACGTACTATTGTGACAAGCTTTATCTTTTCTACTATAAAAGCACGTACCACATCATATCACAGCAGAATAAAGTTGTAGTAAATTAGAAACTCCGGTAAACGTTTAATTTATCTAATTCCATCCATAAATGAGTTGTCTATCGTTTCAATTTAGGTTTGTTAATCGAGCGGTTAGGTTCTGAACAATCGATTTACGTTGTTTATTGCTAGGGTCGTTGATGGGCGTCTGGAACCTTCGTCTACAGTCTCCCCTCCGTACTGACGTCATAGGACTCGTCTAGACTGTTAAACCTATGAGGAAGACCAGGACAATGCACTTAGCCTGTCCCAAACAGTGTTCAAACATAGGTGCAATGTATGTTTTGGTCAACTCCAATCTACGTGGTAAAATTAGCAGTTGCCACGTTCATTGGGAATTAAAATGAAACTACGGTACGGTACGGACGGTTTCGGTATCAGGTATGTGATTTCATAAGTTGAAGGGAGCCGAAAATCGGGGGCAATGACCTCTCACCCTTGGTCTTAGCGTTCATAACCGTGCCTGTGCATTTCGCTCCTCCCCTATCACCACATTACCTTTCGAATGATCAGATATTTATTAAATTTAGCTGAAACAGTATGTTTGCGTTTAAATACTGAACAATTTTTAGTAGCAAATAATGTGCAACCAATTTCAGAACCTACTTTAACCTTTTGAGGACGAAAATGCCGTACCTAGTTTCATAGTAATGGAGTTTTTCAACAGAAATGGAATGGTATTTGGGAAAGCTTGTTACTTTTCTTAGCACTAGTCGTAAAATATATTGGAAGATGAATTGTGGGCCCGCATGGGTTGTATAATAATACTGCCCATTTGGGTGGGTTTATGATATAAACGAAAATATACCTAAAACAAGCCCAAACCCGCTTGCAAATTGCCATACGTACTACCTGACCTCCCGGACCTACAAATTGGCTCACGTAATGATAACAATCAACAAAACACTCACGATTTTCCTATTTTCTCGCTAAGGACTTTTCGTCGTAAACGGTGACCTTTTTTCAACAACTCTGCACAGGATTGGCCAGCGGAAAAACAGATGTTTTCGTTCAGTTTGTTAAATTAGAAAGTTTTGTGAATGTGAAATCTGTTCAGAATATTTAGTTTTTTTTTCTTTCAGAATAAGAGCTCTCTAGTTAAGTATTGATATTACACAACATTACATTAGGATTGGTATAAATAAAATGTTGAGTGCTGGAAATAATCTCTTTGTGAAGTGCTGTACTTACACATAAAATTGAATAATGTATGTTGATGGAGGTCAGAGCTTAGCGGGAGTGACGTAGATTATTGTTCAGCGGAGATTTTTGTACTATGCTTTTACAGTAAACCTCATTTTACCCTCGAGCGCTTACAGATCGTCTCAGTCCTGAATATTTATAAGGCCAGCTTCCATTCCGGTTGGATTTATTATCAAGTTTTGTCACTTCTCGGAGATTCGTTAGGCGAAATCCATTTAAGATTGACTCTAGCATTTAACGTATTCTAAGTGATAAATTAATGGACTTGACCTTTATAGGTGCTGCTGGTTGTTTGACTGTTGTATTGTACAAACACTTGGGAACTAATTTAACTCGTCGAGTACCGGTTTTGTAGACACAATTATAGAACAATAGGTTGCGGTCACCGGTGACCGCTTGGTATTTGACAGTTTAAATTGGTTTCAATATTAGAAATTAAAATTTTCACTTTAGATGGGTATCAATGTTAGTCATTGCGGCAGTACACTGAGTTGAATTTTCTAGTGGTCTTTTTGGCTCGAGCAATACTCGTATACCTAATACTCCCAAGGCCAGTGCGGTAACTCTTAATGATCGGGCTTGCTGACTTCAAAGAATTATTTGGCTACAAATGCACGGGGATATTTTTATTTTTTCCTCAGTTTCTGGGTTGTTCGCTCCTTTGCTAATTCTAAAGATAAAAAATACATTTGTTGTGTATCAAAAATAAGTATTACAAATGAATTTTATTTGGGTTTACTGTTCTATGAAATATATGCGAAAATTGTACTTGCGAGTCTAGTTTTGTATGAATGATGAATGTCGTTTAATAATAAGTTATTTCGTCTCCAATAATAATACAATTATATATACCACTCGTCCCCAGGCTGTACTCAATGCGGTCGTCACGAATGTTTAATTCGGTTATATCGTGGATTTCGTTATAAACGTGTTTGTATTCTGAACAATATTTCGATACATAATTTATGAGAACCTGTTGTTTCAATTACGGACCAGAATTAAAGAATATCGTGGAGATTGTCACATAACTTTTATACTAAACGTGTAACTGAGAGCGCGTGCTAAATATTTTTTGCAAGTCACTACTGGTCATTATTCAGTACTTTCATTCTACCTAAATATTTTTGTCTAACTTAAAACAATTGTTTGTTCTAGGGAGGTTACCCAGCAAAGCTGAAGAAGGTGTTGATAGTGACAGCCCCGCTGTGGTTCAAAGCACCATTTCGGATCTTGCGGCTGTTTGTCCGAGAGAAGTTGCGTGAGCGCGTGCACACTGTGAACGCGCCTCAGCTTGGCCTGCACGTGCCCCGCTCCAGTCTGCCCAAGCAACTTGGTGGCCTGCACGAACCAGACCACGCTGCCTGGTAAATATTTTATTTCTTTATTACGCCATTACTGCGTATAAGCCTCTCTAATGAAAATATCTCTCAATGAGCTCAATCAGTTTCTCGCATCCAACCACTATGTATAGTGAATATTTTTCTTCATTGCTGTGTAACGTAATAAACCTTTAACTATGACAAAATACTTAATCTTGTAATGTAGTGAATAAAGTTACGTCATCACTGTGACTACTGTGTCACTAAAGTTTGAACAACCAATTGAGTTTTACTAGAATTAGATCTAGAAAATTACCTTTTTATGAAGTTACCTAGTATTTAGAGAGCGGAAGTTAATTCAGTTACGAATTCTGTTTCATAGTATCTAACTCAGTTATCGTCAACGTCTACAATATATATTATATCTAGAAGTTTGGATGTCATTGTGGCAGGGAAACTATTAAAGAAACTTCCATCGTTCTTGGCGCTGCGGTAACAAAACCGAAAGTTTACGGTCTTGTAAGCGATGTAGGTGGGAGTCGTGGGAGAGCTGCAGTGTCCGCAACTTTGGTGCTATCTTGCATGTTGCCGAGCCGGGCTTCCTTCCTGCGACTTAGTTTCCCTCTGTCAGACTTATCAGTTATGCACCATCAATGTACTTATTCGTTTGCTTATGAGTGTCCCCATTAAGAAACTCGGCTTTATAATACGTGTTAGGGTTTCTTACATGATTGAAAAACGAGCCCCTCGTTTGGTCAGCTCACTGTGGATACGTCTGCCCGTCAGACTTGCTCTCGACCCTTTTTTCAAGAATGGCTCGTGGTATTTACGTTGAAATTAACATCGTTATGTCTGGTTTTATGTAAAGATTTGTATTACGGTTTATTTCACATTGTTCGGGATTGAAATGGGGCTATCCTACTTATTTAATGTATTCTATACAAACTACTTCAATTATCGTATGAAAAATACATCGTCATATAATTAAGTAGTTATTGTTAGCTTTTATGTAGATTATAATGTAGTAGGTGTATTGAATAAAAAGGTGCAAAGGAAATTCGGCGCCTGTGTGCCAAGTAGGTCGACTTTTGTTGTTCCACCCCACGGCATGGCATTACGTGACATATATTTCACGTTACGATGTAATCAACGATAATTGTTAAACGCTCGAAATTTCAATTAACCCCTTTAACGAACTTGCGTAACAAAGTGCCTGCCTTCATTTCTACTTATTGCTTAGGTAAAAAGTATTAAGAATATTACTTTGTTTTCCATTAGGTACTTGTCCATCGTTGTTGTAAAATATTGAGATAATTAAACAATACAACTATGAGTAGTTGTATTGTTTAATTATTATTCACACTCGCCCTATTTATAGCAGAAAGTCCTAGAGTAAGGCAATACTTTGTTAATGAAATAATGTATTTTCTGTCTCTATGATTTTACTGTTATGTAATTTTATGTTGCGAAAGCTCGGGAAAGTGATAGTTTACTACCAGGTTTGCCAACCGACAAACATGTCCGTGAACGTTGAACATTAGGAATCTATCTATCTACGTATATAAGTAATTTGTTCGACCACCTACGCGCTGTTGACCGTATATGCGATACATGCATAGAACGAACGTGGGCGTTGCGAAAATCTTGTGAAACCGTCCTCTAGCCGATCGATTTGAAGTCTCTAAAACTTGGCACCTGAAAATACGAAGACGCGTATTACATAATGTACCGTGATGATTTATTGGCCATATAATGAAGCGGTTCGCCTCTGTACCAATGATAAATCGGGGTTGAATTTCTGCGTCGGCTGTTATAGAGCTCATTAACTTTGAGTTCAGGTGATGTACAGCATGAGTCGCGTTCATACAATATCTACTGGTACTTACGTGATTCATGTTTATCGTGGCAATAACAATGATACAAGATAAGATTGTGGGAGCTATCCTAGCCACTTTATTTCTTTGAATTCTTTATTGGAAGGGTACTTGCAATCCTACAGATTTTATCGATCGCACATACGCTGTGTACGTCATGTGTGTTTTGTCCGTTTTGTAAGTTATTCTCGTTTTTGCTTTGAGTTATTTGATTAAAGTTTTAAGCTCTTTTCTCTTGTCTGCAGGTTGGAGCACTGCAAGAATTGTTACACGAACAATTTGCAGAACGCTAAACTAGACGGCGTCATCGATGAATATGTAATCAGTAATCACATACCACCTATCAACGCGCAAAATGGTGAGTGCTGAACATGTTTTAGATAACGATAGGTATACAGTGACGTGTTACCTATCATTATGTTTTACTAGGATTTAGATTTCACACACCGTCGACTTGAATACGTTTGTTTTGAACGTTGACAAGATACGAAAATACATTTTAGGTAGACACATTCATAATTTGAGCGTTCATCATTTACCTATAATTTTATTCGTAATACTTAATTTGTAAAGAAGATTATCTTTCTTGGAGGGGACTCAATGGTAGGCAACGCACTTGTGATACCTCTGGTATTCCATAGGCTATAAGTGGCTGTTTCCCATCAGACAGCCTCCGTACATTATTTTTTTACTATAGTAAGTAGCATAAAAGTATTGTGGATATTATAATACTAGTTTTTTGTGCAGGTATAATAGAGCACGAGGGTGACATGACCAGCGACCGCGCGCCGCGCCTGGACTCCGACACAGACATGCACATCAGCGGCGACCCTCCCTACACCTGCGACCCCAGCCCGCTCAGGTAACTGATTACTGTTTACCTACTTATTACCTAATATTCAATACTTTACCTTTTATAATTTGTAGGGTTAGATCCACACACTATCTGCGTCCCCTCTAACTGCGTGCCTACCTTTTACATGAACGCACGCACGCACAATTTTTTTTTTTTAAACGTTGCCCCACGTTAGGTTCCTCTCCTGTGTCGAGGGTGCGTTTACAAACATATAAGTTCACATACACAATGACACCCAGACCCGAAACAACAATTTGTGGATCACACAAAGTGTTGTTCCGTGCGGGAATCGAACCCGCGACACGTTGCACGGCAGCCGTTTGCCCAGCCACCGCACCAACCGTGCAGTCAAAATGTATTATAAATTTATAATTTTTTAACGGAAGTGTACCAAAGAATTCTAGATAACAGTTGTTAACCTGTAGAATATTAAATCTAGAGATTAAAAACGTCTTTAATTCATTGATAAATTGGTAATTCGTCTACATATTTATAAATTTTTTCGCAATAAAAGAGATAAATAAGTAAAAGAGTCAAATTAAAATGGTAATAATTTTGCGTATAATTTTAATCACATTCTGCAAATGGGTCGCCACAAGAATCACTAGTCAGACGAATTATGATAATTATAATAATAGTATTATTAAAGAATTTACTAGCTCTATATTGTTATTTTATTACTAATGTTGTGTCCAAAACACCTCTGATTCATGCTACGATGACGTTCCGTAAAATACAGACTCGATTATTTATTGGAATCGTGTCACTGACCACAACATTTACTTACTTTATTTTATAATTATCAAAATAACAAAATACCATGGCTCTTAGCTCCCGAAAGGTTTTCCAGAGGTGCATAGTATATAAGCAAAACACCCACTTTTCACTTGCTGTTTTATGGGGCACAACTCCAGACTCTTTATAGTAGAAATTCCACAGTAGTTATAAATTTTCTAATAACAGAAAAACTTCAATAATACACTATCCAAACCGGGAATCAAACCTGAGATCTCTTGCTTAACAACCTTATTAATATCCAATCAACGAGGCAATCACACAATGATTATATCAAATGAATACCAATCTTATCTCAAACGAAATCAATAATTGTTAAGTGTACTCATATCTCTTTCATTTTATAGGCACACCCATGGGTATAATGGTGATATGAAGAGCAGGCACATAAACTCGGGAGACGAGGATGACATGGATATAAGCAGTGAGTACAACCTCGGATGAATAAAACCTTTTTGCTTTCTCTCCCGTGTAGTTCTCAAGATGACTACTAAAATCATAAAACCTTTTTATTACATTGACATTACGTCACTGTCTAAGTAAAAAAAGTAAAAACTGCCATAGTGACGTTGCTTTGGTTTCGATGATTGTTTATTAATTTTACTTGAATTATAATTACAATACAATAATTCACACAACAGTACTGATGAGTACCAGTCATAAAAGTGAGGGTATGTTATTGAATTAGTTAGTTAGTGATACATAATTCGATGCCTCCATGGGCCAATATTTAATGCGCCTCGGTAAGTTTCATTGTGACACGAAGCCGATGATATAATGGGTATCAGTTTATAATACTTTTTTCGAATGAAAATGTGCCCCTAAAGTTATAATGTAGGTGAAAAAAACGATAGGATCTACGTATATTATTTATACCTAATACAAATGGTAGTGAAACTTGGTTAAATTGACCCAGTTTTAGTGAAAAATCTCTGTTCCATATAAATATTATTGTCCCAAAACTTTTGGTGGAAAATCCCTCTTGTTGGGAATTTTTAAATTGATTCTGTTTTACGATCTATTACTAGCTAAACTCGCGACTTCGTGCGCGTGGAATAGTGATTCACAACTCCTCCCTCGTAGTTGATAGCATGTTAATATGTAGCCTATACAGGTGTCCCTGAAGTCGACGACCAAATGGCACCAGGTGGTCGGCAAGGTTCCAACAGTCGTCAGAAAAATATAGAAAAAATTCCAAGTCATATAGTTCTTTAATTACAATGACTTAAGTGTTATCCACGAAAAAGTACACCTATGCCAGTCTTTTCTCTCTTGTTGCTACAATTCTTCTTTTTATCGTCTGTATTTGAGCTTACGTTATCCTGAATAGTTCATCAAAAAATTATGTTCTTTTCCAAACTACAGCAGTTCGACCAGAATTTATGATTCCATAATACTGAAGCACTATTCAGGATAACGTAAGCAAAAATACAAACGAAAAAGTAAAGAATTGTAGCAACAAGATTTAAAAGACTTGTACAGGATACTTGTTTTTTTGTGGATAACACATAAGTCATTGCAATAAACTAAGCGAATTGAAATTTTTCCAATATTTTTCTGATGACTGTTGGAACCTTGCCGATCATCTGGTGCCATTTGAGCGTCCTGTATGTTGACCCGACCTGTTAGTAACATTCATGCAAAATTTGAAGTATATCCATGCAGCACTTTTGACATACCTACATACGGATACAAACAAACGGTCAAAAATACTAAAATCATATTTATGGTTTTAATATCGAATGTAGACAACGCCCAAAGCATTCATTTAAAAAAATATTCGGTGTACAGTTTTCACTTTCTTACGATTTTATTATATGTATAGATTGTCTATTATTGTTTTACGATATATTTATTGAATAGATCGTAAAACAGAATCAATCGATTAAAAGTTAATGGTCGTAAAAGAAATGGTTGATTATTAGCCGAAGGTTTATACATTTTACGAGAAATACGCGGAATACTGCAAACAACACTTGATTGTTGCAACAACTCGATTGAACCTGATAGTATGCGATTTATATTGTTCACTGTTGAACGATTGCTTTGCTCGCCGCACTACACTCACTGGCTCGATAATCCAATCATTTTTTAGTTCCGTTTGTTTGGAATAGTTGCGTGTTTGCGTTTGAGTGACGTTTATCCCAATCGGTGATCTAAAGTAATCCTGGTTTGCCTATCGCGTCAGCTGTTCCATGGTTTACTGTCGATACTGAATTTCATACAGTACAATTTATTTCGTATATACTTTGCATACGTATCGCGTGGTCTGATCCAACGTTATGAAGTGCCAATTTCAAACGTTCGTGAAAATCATGTTGATATTCTTTTTAGTGTTTGTGATAAAGTTAAACAGTAAGTGTTTTAATACAAGTTTTCTTATAAACTTAAATATGTAGAACAAAGGTTATGTTTTGCGTATTGTAGGTAAGGTTCAGTGTGTAAAATTGGTTCCTCTAGCAAGGGTGCAGATATATTGGGGTTTTGTAAGGGTATGCTCTGACCGGTCGTCCACATGATTAAACGGACGTTTGGGTCGGAGGCTTAGTTCGGAGGCACCCTGTCCTTTCACTTGTACAAAGATAGGTTTGGGTCGGGCTTTACAAATTTTTAGTGCTTGAATTGTTTCGCTACCAAACCCAACTTCAAAAATATAAAAATAGAAATATGATTGATGATAACAATGAGACTGGTATTTTCTATTTCTATTATAATGCGTAATACGAGGCAAAGTTTGATTCTTATTATAATTAAAGTGGAATAGAATGTTTTGAAGTTTTCTTAAAACTATTTTGAACAGTTTAGATGGCTGAGATATTAGTTTATTGATCACTTAAGTGTTTCGAAAGCCGCAAAGTATGTAAGAATTTTTGCAATTGTGCTGGACTTTTACAAATAATCAAACTTATAAGGAGAGATATTCGGAGAAGAATAATCTGTATTGCCCACCTATCACAGTATGAACAGGTTTACATTGCTACCTGCAAGTCCCGTAAGGTTCAGTAGAATACCAGGAAAGATGCACATGTTTTGAACAAATGACAATGACGGTTATCTACACTTAGCTTTCTGTACGTCTGAAAACTAATATCTTCGTCATCAATAGCCTATAAATGCCCACTGCTGGGCAAAGTCTCTTCTCACAATATCTTCGTTACCATACGTAAAATAAACAAAAGTGTAATAACCCAGTAATTAATGGAGTTATATGCCTCCGTTTGATTGTTTATTGTTGTAGGTAGTCTATAACAGGTATAGTGAATGTAGTATATTGAGTTGGTACGTGATGCGTCCGTGTTGCAGCGCGCGGCACGTGGTCGTCGGGCGAGGTGTCGCCGGGGCTGTCGGACGAGGAGGGCGGCGGCGGCGGCGCGGGCGAGGCGCCGCACGCACTGCTGCAGCGCGTGCGCGCGCTCGGCCGCCGCGGGCTCGCCGCGGAGTACGACGACATCCGCGCGCGCCCTCCGCTCGGCACCTTCCATCATGCCAAGTCAGTAGTACATACCTACTCACAACAGTACACACACAAATAATATTCAATTAAACACTACTTGTTACACATCTCTATATGCTCATAGGGCTGATTGTGTCCACCCAATAAGTCCACTTAAAGAGATCAACATCCGACCCTATAATGACTAATCGTCGACCTATCACATATAAAAAATATTGCAACCCATCTTACAGATATTTCATAAACACTGACATAATAGATTTAAATAACATGTTTACTTTTAGAAACCACATTAAACACTCTTTGGCCAGTTATGTTGATGTTTATGATAAAACAGAGACCAAACATGTATGTATATTTATGATATTAATAAAAATACTGTCATGGTCATGCATGAGCCATAATTCAATGGAACGGCTATTGAACAGGACAGGAAGAGATCAGCTAAATGGTTTTCACCAAACTAAGCGCTACAGCAAAGACCAGCTCGGTTGCCCCTCACTATAGTTTTCCTCATCTTATCCCGTGATGATCTCATAGTTTACTTATAATGTATTATGGACCGTACATAAAATTCATATTGGAATGTAGTAAATCAATCAGTGTATTGAGTATAGAATCTCAAACCTCAGTTTCTGGAAAATACCTCGACCTTTAGTCAACTCTACCTACATAATGTTTTTTGGTAACTTAATGATCTTTTCCCCTAATTAACTTTCTCAATCGCTATTTTTATGCCAGTTATTCCTGATAATGTTATTGTTGTAATTAATATCTTCAATTATCGTTTTACCTCTTAATTAGGAACATTTGGTAATGCTATACTTTTTTTCGCCCACATAACATTCAGAATTAGAAAGCTTCACAATAACAACGAAAGTTTTTTAGCCAAAACAAACCCACTGAAACATAATAACGGTAATTAGAGTATTAATTACATTTGCTGTTTATTTTAGAAAAGGAATATCAGCGTTATTTATAAGTAAATAAGGTTTTTTGTTGATTGTTCCAGATTGCCGAGCAATCTAGCCAAAAATCGTTACACGGACGTGCTATGCTACGACCACTCGCGCGTGTTACTGTCGCAGACAGATCCAGACGACCCCACCACAGACTATATCAACGCTAACTACGTCGACGGGTACAAACAGAAAAATGCTTACATCTGTACGCAAGGTAAGCTTCGAAACCTCTTACTTACCTACTATATTAATAAAAAAAAAAGTTTTATTTTTCTTCCGTGTCGAGGATATACTCACAAACTTCACGTACACATTACAACCAGACTACATTTTAATAAGTTTCATAAAAAATGAATCACAACTCTGCAGTCAATAAGGCGTAGTATTCTAGATTTCTAAGTATCAAAGAGCACTTTGTTTTATCATGTATCATCCATCGCTTGTCGTAAATAATCTGATATAGATGTTTTTAAAATGAACACGTTGTTAATTGGATATGTTTCAATCAGTGAATGATTACATTGTTATCAGTAGGTATACTCCTGATAAACGGAGAACACGTGCTTGTATAACTGTGTTGTAGATTATGTTCTATCAATCGACTTGTAAAAACACCTTTGAGGTCGCTGTAACTACGTACATCTGACGATTATAAAGTTTAATTAATCACCTTCTCTACAGTTCTGTCATGTCGTCAAGAGTATTTGATATTAACATTTTTAGAGCACAAGTTGAATGAACTATGTATTTGTATATGATTATATTATTTACAGTACACGTCATGTAGCACGATTACAATTTGCTCAACCGTAATATATGACTTCCATTTATCATTGTGAAAAAATGCAAGTAATCTTCTAAGAATATTTGATACAATTTGGCTGCATTCCCATACTACCTGGAAAATCGCTAAACTTGTTTACGATGGAAATACGTTTTCTGTGAATTATAAATAATACAGCCCTGTACTGTAGCGCGAATTGGAAATGAACGCAGGGGAAATCCTCTCTTCGTAGAAATCACTCGGCGAATAACAGCGGCGACATTCTTTTGTAACATTTTTTTATATATTTTTATTCGAATCGACGTTGTTGATACTTATTATTGTGTTCTTAGAATTTTAATACCGAAGTGAAGAAAAAAAAAGAATATTAATGTCTCGGTTATTTTGCGGTAAGTTTGCCATTGGAAATGAAATGTTGATGCTATTGATTATAGGTCCGTTGCCGAAGACGTTCAGTGACTTCTGGCGCATGGTGTGGGAGCAGGGCACGTTGGTGATAGTGATGACGACGCGCGCCGTGGAGCGCGGCCGCGTCAAGTGCGGCCAGTACTGGCCGCTCGCCGACGGACAACACGTCGTCTACGGGGACTTCGCCGTCACCACGCAGGCCGTCGAGCACGAGGAGGACTACACCGTCACGCATCTACTGCTCAGTGACCTTAAGGTGACCTTGCTTTACCGACACAAATCTTACGAATACATAGCATTTAAATATGGGTCAATCGTTTTCAGCATTTACAAGCTAATACTAATTATTAGTGCGTCGCATAGTTACTCGAAAATATGTCAATTTTTTAAACGGTTTTCTTTTTGTGTCAATTGCAGTGCAGTACATTTTTATTACTTTTTCTTTCTTGAAATGTCATTCCCTCAATATTATCGGTATCAGCGCGTTCTCGGTTGGGTTACAAAGTATGCGTGATGTCCCCAGCGCGGCGGGTCGCGGCGCGTGTGGCACGGGCAGTACACGCGGTGGCCGGACTACGGCGTGCCGGGCGGCGGCAGCGCGGCGCCCGTGCTGCGCTTCCTGGCGCGCACGCGGCGCGCGCAGGCGCTGGCGCTGCACGACCTCGACCACGCCTGGGCCGGGCACAAGCAGGGCCCGCCCATCGTCGTGCACTGCTCCGCGGGCATCGGCAGGACGGGTGCGTACTACACTACTACTACTTCAAAAGCTTTTGACTGCACGGTTGGTGCGGTGGCTGGGCAACCGGCTGCCGTACAACGTGTCGCGGGTTCAATTCCCGCACGGAACAACACTTTGTGTGATCCACAAATTGTTGTTTCGGTCTGGGTGTCATTGTGTACGTGAACTTGTATGTTTGTAAATGCAGCCACGACACAGGAGAAAATCCAAGTGTGGGGCAACGTTTAAAAAAAAAAACTTCTTAACACAATGCTGCTCATGATTGTGAACCCCGGCGTGGCCCGAAATGATCACAGAGCCTAGTTGACGATAAAACCTGTTTGTTTCACAGTGGTCGAATGTTTTGATTTTACATTGAAATGAGAATAAAAACGAACTGCTAATGATTTTTATGGTACTTTAAGTTTCGTACAATATGATGTATAATGCAGGCACGTTCCTGACGCTGGACATCTGCGCGCAGCGACTGAGCGCGGAGGGCGTGCTGGACGTGCGCGGCACGGTGGAGCGGATCCGTGCGCAGCGCGCGCACTCCATCCAGATGCCCGACCAGTACGTCTTCTGTCATCTCGCGCTACTCGAGTACGCGGTCAGTGTCGCTACATACCACATTACTTATTTTTAATTATAAGAATAATGTTTAAGCGTGTGATCTAGTTGTAAATATCAATATAATGTATTTCATTGTGGTAGTTAGTAGAAACAATGTTTTTAACCTAATCATATTTTGGAACTGGTCTCATAAAAATATATAGTAGCCCAAGACGCCCAGTCGAGTGTCGAACCGTATCGGGGCTCATAAACTGTAATGTGCGGAGAACTTGCACAACCAACCAACTTCAATTTAATCAGAAATAAAACCACGAACAAAAAAATCCGTGTAAATAATTCATACCAATCGTATGTAATATAACATTTGCAGGTGATGCAGGGCTACCTAGACTCTGCCGACCTGACGGGATTCGACGAAGACAACGAGGAGGAGTCAGAATGAAGACTGTCTCGACCGTCCTGCGCCCTACTGTAGCGCACACAGACTTACTGTACAGTGTGTACGCAGTGTATAGTGTACGCAGTGTATAGTGTACGCAGTGTATAGTGTACGCAGTGTATAGTGTACGAGTGTACAGTGAATGCAGTGTATAGAGTGACGTCACTGACTGCCGCGCTATCCGCACATAGCTTAAGAAATATAAACATTGAAACAAAAACGTTCCTCTAGCAAGAATAAGAACTGAAATAAACCTGGTAATGGGAAGGAAGCCTACACAAGTATTTATTTGCATATTATAAATCTTTGTAACCAAAAATATTTCCACGATTATTTAGATTTTTAATATTTATTTATATGATGTAAGGAGTTATGGCTGTGTGAAGTTTTGTCTGTAACTTATGTAGTTATGTTTATTTTATTGCAATAAATTATTTGATGTAATTGCCATACAAACATTATATTTAAATGTGTCCGTTGAATTCGCAGTTTCGCACGATTTGATATACGTTGAGGTGCTGGTAGGCTTAAAACGTTGATTCATGTTAATCATTTATATATTTCATTCGCGCGTTGTCGCATAATGATGTGTATTATACATTTTTATAATCGTCAACGCTCACGTCGAGCTATTGTATGAATTTATGATAATGCACTGAAGCATCTAGACGTCGTTACGAATTATTATAAATTATTATATAATAAATAAGTTTAGTCGCAGAATGTCCGCTTTGCTCATTGTCAACGAAGGAAAACAGGTTTAAATGAAATCAACCACTTCAGAAAACATTTTATAGTATGAATATAAACCATGGTTAGATTTTAGAGTGGGGGTAAGGTGACACCAACTATTTACATTTGGCATTATTTCTCACTGTAATTTTTAACACTATTGAATTCATTTTCTTATTCTCACGTTAACTTACCTATTACTTAGATAAGACTAAAACTAAATAATAGCAATAACCATTAAATAATGAGAAAGTTAAAACCATTAAATAAAATAAAGAGAATACTCAACATGCGAATTGAACTCCACTACGAAAAATCTGGCCATGACATGGACTACACATACATCTGCTACTACTTTATTCAGTTGCACGATGCTAACTTGATGCTTTAATATTGCAAAATCTATTCCTAATTTCCAAGGCAAAAGGGTGAAGTCCAGTCGAATGTACAGCTAAGTGAATGACCGACTTACTACCGGCGGGAGACTGAATACGTAAATGTAGAAAAAAAATATTCGCCAAATTGGACATTTGCCACTGCTACACATAACTAAGTGAACATTCTGCGACCAGACAATATAAATTTTACATAGACTGAGTAATGTTAATATGTTCTAAAAGTTTACATGCGGCCCGTCGTACTAGCGTAAATTTATAATTACCTTCATGTTGATTCTTAGTTTATTATTTGTTCTATAATATGTATAACTACTTGATGTAAAAAATCATAATATAAACAATAGATGGAAAGTAAAGTATTTTGATGTAACAAGACAGCATATTTATTTTTCATAGAAAGCATAGCGACATATCTAATGACAGATGTATATATTTGGAATCGCCGTCCTGTTACGTAACGTACATATCGCAGTAGACGTGCTTTAGTTTGCTCTCCGTGGCCACTTCCTGCAATGAATCTCTCGCGCCCTCTCCCGTGCTAGCAGTGTGTTGCTCGAACGTATCATTATGGTAACTGTCGTGTATTCTATCTGTCACGTGTCCTGTCCAGACTCACTTACTCTCGCTCGCAGACAATTATTTGTAAACAGAATATCGTATTTAATTTAGCACGGTGTAAATATTTGTTATGCAACTCTGCGAGCGACACTACGTCTGTCTGGCGCTGCACTAATAACGATGTATCGAAATATGTTTCTCTTATAACATTGTTTCATATAAGTAAATTGTTAATCTGGAACGTCTGTTGATTATATCTGTAAATATTTTATCATTATTTTCTGTTCTAAATTTAAATTAAAACCCTTGTGAAATATGTGTGAAATAAAAAATCTTGTAATATATTTATACTATGGTTTTATTGTTTCCTTATCGTTTAACGATTACTATACTACTGCACTGGATATTGCAAGGGCTTACAAGACGGATATTGTCTATCACAGGAATATTACATCATTTTTGTTATGAATAATAATATTGGTGCTACTCTATGACCATGGTAGAATTGCCCTTATATATCTTAGGAAGAAAACAATTAATTTTACCTTTACGGGTTTAGAATATTAAAATAATTAAATAATTTAATCTTAACCTGTCTGCAATACTACGTATCTACCTGTCGAGGTAAAGGCAACGTCATAATGATAAAGTCGGAGCCATATGAATTTTCCATCAGTAGCTCTCGCAGTCTCAAGTGTCTGCTTGTCTTGATATGATATTTCAAAGACTTCATCAGAGATCAAGACTTCTAGAAAAAAAACCAAAATAAAAATATGGTTTCCGTTGGCTCAAGCCAGTGCTAGGCTAGCATAGTGCATAGTAAAATTGGGCGCCACTTGAGATATATTGCGGGACTTAGTAAGAATTGCCAGACACACACGACCCATTTATAAACATGAAAGTTATTTTTGTTGAATATTGATATGTTTCGAAAACCTTTCATTATCTCGAAGACTAAAAAATAAAGAAATTTTCGATTCTTCCTTATGTTACAACTCTTCTAACGAGAGATTTTTCTGATTATTGGACAGGCTCGTCAGGTCCTCGATATTTTAACTCGTCGAGTACCGGTTTTGCAGACACAATTATAGAACAATAGGTTGCGGTCACCGGTGACCGCTTGGTGTTTGACAGTTTAATTGATTGAAATGTATCTATTCAACTCCGTAATAGACGCCGTGTGGCGGCGTTCATGTTCGTCGGTACGAAAAAGGGTAAATATTTCTGTGGTAGAACATTATCGCCTCGTATCAGTACAACGTATTTTGAACTTTTGGACTAACCAAAAATCAATGTTTAACTACGAATGTTCCTTGTTATAAAACGGATGCAACATGAGGAAATGTGTATGCAGAAATATGTAGATCTTTATAGAATTTATCCTATTTACTTTTGGACTATTGTCAGCTCTACTGGAATCAGCCAAACGTAGCAACGTAGAAAGAAATAGACATAAATGGATAAAAGCTAGACTAGATAGAAAAATAGACATAAATGATTAGATATGTACATAATTTTGTTTAGGAATAATTATAGTTGTGGTGTGTAACTAGGTACTTTATAAATATTGATTGTAATAAAAAAAAGTATGACAAGGGCACAGACCAAGAGTCCGTGGAGAATTAATAAATAAGAATAAAAAAGAAACTACGATTTATTTACAATTATTTTAACGCTATATGACTTTAGCAACTCATTTAGAAAGTCGCAGAAGCCAATAGTGTTCATACTTGCAGACACGGCGTTAGCGAATGCCAATATTATTCCTGCGGATGCATCTAGTTCTGCTCCTGATACTAGGAAATATACTCCACCTACAAAAAAAGGTTTTTAGTATTGCATATCTACTTCTTGTCTTTAACAGCTAGTGCTTTGAAATACTGAATTTGAGATATAGATAGTAAAAGGCTAATATTATATTAAATGAATAATTCAAACATCTCTAGAATTTTCAAACTATGAAGTTTCTGCGCCTAAGGATCCAACCACCAGTCAAAAGATCACGATGTTTAGGTGAAAAAGACAGAATAAATAAATTTATAATATCAGATGTCTATACCTCTCTGTATGCTCCGTATTCTCTGGACCGCTTGTCACACCAACGTCTCCATTCTCAAGTAGTTCGCCATTAGTGCAGATAGCGCTCAAGGAGAGCGTGGTGATAACGCAAACCGCGCCAGCGATGAAGACGATGAGGCAGAAGAGGACGATGCCAGCCTGCTCTACCACCCACGCGATGCGGAGGAACAGCATCACGCCCCATATGTTCAGCAGACATGGTATAGTGATTGTGATGTATCAACCAAAAAACTATACCTACCTAGTTACAGTAATAACTAGTGAAAAATTAGTATTACGTTAAATAAATGCGTAAATACGGGGACTAAAAAAGAAGTATTGTGTTATTTAAGTCCAGATCAGACCAAAGACAGATATTCTTGACTATACAAAAATATAATACTTAAACATTAAACTTTACCTGTATCCATCCTAGTTTGATGTCACCATACGTATTCATTTCAAGAGTTGGGACCTCGTAACTCGTATTGGTTGACTGATGTAAAAAAAAAACATTCAAATATTGTGAACGAAATAAAATCTCTGTTTTTTCTGGCAACGTTTTCGTTTCCAGTTTTAACTGGCTTGAAAGAACTGAAGTTTCGTGTGTTTTCATAGCCAGTGAAACTAACACCCATCGAAATTGTAGAACGCCATAGCTAAAACTATCTAGTATTAACCAGCTTACGTTTTTTAATTTTACTTTAATTTAGTACGAAAAATGATAATGATATCTATTTTTATTTTAAGTATTACAAATGTGTTTTCTAGTAAACATATTTTTAATAATAGGAAATTAGGTATCTGTTATGTCACAGAACATATAAAGAATTATATGTTCTGTGTGTTATGTCTTTACCTCTTTAATTATTTTTCAGTCTCAATCGAAGGCGATTTCTCACACTTTGACTTAATTAAACTATAAATATTTAAAGGAAATTATTAGAATTTACCAATAAACGTCCGGTGATATCCTAAAGTTCATACGCGGATTCTGGTATGTGGCATCTAGGATGTGTAGCATCAGTAAATTTGAATGTTAAACACTATAGGTAATTGTAAAATACAGTTCCAAATAAAAACAGATAATTTAAAGCTTAAACACTGGCATTCAAGTTGTTAATTTCTAATAACAATAAAGTAGATCTAATTATTCAAAGTCAGAGTCAAAATCATATATTTCAACAGGAAAGGCACCTTTGGACGTCAACAAATTTTTTTAAAGTAAAGCTGTTTACTCATTCCTAGGAAACTCCATAGGTTACTCTTTTTCAATCAGGTTCACAATATTGTTCTACCTATAAAATTATTTAAGTTGTACTTACCATAATCGTAACTTTTTATCAAGCGTTCGTGCATTGTAGAGGCATGTGATATCTTTGTTATTCTTTACTAGGTATATAATTTCAGATTCAACACAGGAACTCGTTTCAATATGAAATAATTAAACTTCACTAATTAACGATGTGAAGAATCGAGCATTGTCTCGTAGGAACTGCTTCAGTACCGCACTCCACCGGTTACTTCCAGCTTATTCACCAGTATTATTTGAACTCCCGGCTGAGCTACAACACATACTTACATAAGTTTTTTCATTAAAGATATTTAGATTAAAGATATTTTGTCATTAAAGATAAAATGTGTTGTAGCTCAGCCGGGAGTAAGTAGTATAGAGTAGTCTCGCAGACCAAACAATGGCATCTAATGGTTATCCATTAGATGCCATTGTTTGGTCTGCGAGACCATAATTGTTCGTATCGTGTGGTAGTGTTGACTAACTCAGAGGGCCGGGGGCAATTAGCGTTGTATTCAAAATAATCAGTTCGTAGAAATGAGTCTTTGGAATTGTTTAATAGAAGTATCTACGATTTTTAACTTAATAATTTTCAAGTTCAGTCGATTACGCAAAAGAATATTTTTTTTGTTTTCATTGTATAACTTCTTTTTATAGTAATTTAAATATGTTTTTTTTTTTAACTAGATTAAGCCTCACTGTGGAATTGGAACAATACTGTAATAAGAGTGTAGGAAGATTTTTATAATAAATAAATAAATAAATCCGACTCTAAGGATAACAACACTGACCAAAGTTGGCGGATAAACTGGCTAGATAGCAAATTATAAAACCAATATTTTAGTACTCTGACAGCCAACAGGTGAACATTTTTTTTAAGGGGGAAAATCAACGAATGATTGCTCCCGCCTTAGTGTCAGACTCTTTCTGACTCAAAACCACCCCATTTTGTTTCTTATATATATAAATGACTTACCTTACCTTGTAAGGGATAACCACGGGATAGTACTGTTTGCGGATGATACTTCGTTATTATTTAAACTTAAACGTAGACAATTAGTTATTAATAATGTGAACAGTGCTCTCTCGGAGATAGTACGCTGGTTCAATGCCAACAACCTATTACTAAATGGAACTAAAACTAAATGCATTAAATTTACAACACCAAATGTTGGACATGTGAAAACCAGCGTGCTCATTAAGGGTGAGGAGTTGAGCCCTGTAGATTCTACTGTCTTTTTAGGTATAACCCTAGACGCTAAGCTCCAGTGGGCTCCACATATAAATAAGTTATCGAAAAGGCTCAGTTCTGCAGCATATGCCGTTAAAAAAATTAGAAATCTAACCGATGTAGATACAGCGCGATTAGTATACTTTAGTTATTTTCATAGTGTTATGTCATATGGTATTCTCTTATGGGGGAATGCTGCTGACATTCAATCTATCTTTGTTCTGCAGAAGAGGGCCATTCGATCAATTTATAATCTTAGTCCGAGGTACTCTCTCAGGGAACTATTTAAAGAAATTAATATAATGACGGTTGCTTCTCAATACATTTATGAAAATTTAGTATATGCTCATAAAAACAAAAGTTTATTTAAAAAACATAGTGATATACATAATATAAACACGAGAAATAAAGACAAATATGTTGTTCCCACTACTAGACTAAAGAAAATAAGTGGTTCGTTTAGATGTCAGAGTATACGCTTTTACAATAAGATTCCCAGCCATATCCAAAATTTGAGTCTAAATAAATTTAAAAATGTCATTAAAGATAAATTTTATAGTAAAGCTTATTATAAAATAAAAGACTACCTAGATGATAGTCTGGCTTGGGAATAAGCTGCTGTAACGTCCACACAGGTCATGTTGACATGTTTGTAACATATAGTTACATTTCTTTTTTTATATGCAATTTGACATTATTGTTTTAATGTGACATTGTTTTTCATATGTTGTTCTAACTTGACATTTACTTTTTATTTAACAATTGTTAGTGCTAGGACCGTGCGAGACTTTGCCTCACCATTTCTTTTCTAATTACCCTTTTTCTGACAGTTTGAGTATTTGTGCGACCCACGCAAATGTTCTTTAGGTTGGTATTGTTCGTCGAATCAGTCAGCCTCACCTGTTAATTGAGCTGACTGTAAACCGACACATGCGTACTGCCTTCAGAACGGGTCCGCTCAAACTGTTGTGGTTCTTTCCTCAAAAGCCCACTACAGAAAGAACTGGCACGGTTCTCACACATAATCTGTTATACATATTGTCTGGACTTTAAAAGAGACAGACCTCTGAGTTTGTTTCGGCATTTCTTCTCAGAGTAGTCAGTTAGGAAATGTCGACCTCATCGTTCGCTTGATAAAATTGACGTGTAAAAGTGCTGCCTTGTAGCCTATTTGCAGAAATAAATTCACTTGTTTCACTTGTTTCTATAATTGTGTCTACAAAACCGGTACTCGACGAGTTAATCTAAAGATTGAGATCGGTTATTGAACTTGGCAGTTATTAGATTGTTTACCAGATTCTTTTACGATTTGGTTTTTAACGAGATGGTTGAAGAAGGAAGTGGTTAAAGGAGGTGATCGGTTGAAAAGGTTAAATAAAGGCAGCTAAAATGTACCTCTTACATTTCAGTGAAACACTTTTCTTCACCTTTTCCCTACGTTGACAGGCACAAAAACTATAAACATAACATAACATCACGCCTTTTATGCCTGAAGGGATACGCAGAGGTGTACATTATGCCACTGTACAATGTATCACCCACTTTTCACTATTTATGTTATGAGTCCCATGTAATATAGGAGGTGAGCCTATTGCCATTTACCGGGCACAATTCTAGGCTCCGTGCTACTACTGACAATTTAAAAAAAACCCAGTATTACTTTTCCCGACCTGGAAATCGAACCCGAGACCCCTTGCATTTGCAACGTTTCGCACTTGCAACATTCGCACTTGCAACGATTCGGCCAATGAGGCAGTCTATAAACTAGCAAACTAAAGAATAAAATACTGATAATTAAACGAATGTGAATATTGATAACATAATTTATTGCAAAAATTGGATTGTCTTTCTATTCAAATTAAATGGATTGAAATAAGTTAGGTACATACAACGTCTCCATCGCAACATTGAGAGCATACTGTGAAATACGTAACAAATATTAAAATTATAATTATTTAAGTAACGAACTATAAAAATAAACAGATTCGAAAGTAAATCACAAATCACTTATATCTAACTTAATCTATATATAATAATAGTACCTAGCAGTAAAAATATTCTAAATAAATTATAAAAAGTACATAGACGCTAAGAAAATAAAATATAGTACCTAATAGTATTTATAGTTGTGGCTTGTTCAAAAATTGTACATTATGTTTGAATCGATAAACAAATACCTATTAGATATTTATTTGTATTGGTATTTTTTAAAAAACGTTGCTCCACATTAAGATTTTCTCCTGTGTCGTGGGTGCGTTTACAAACATACAAGTTCACATACACAATGACACCCAGACCCGAAACAACAATTTGTGGATCACACAAAGTGTTGTTCCGTGCCGGAATCGAACCCGCGACACGTTGCACGGCAGCCGGTTGCCCAGCCACCGCACCAACCGTGCAGTCTTTGATTTGTGAATTGAATTGTGTCTTGTACACAGAAATATTAAAAAAGCTTCTTTAATATAATTATCTGTGGTCTTGTATGTCAGTGAATTGTGTCAATGAGTTAACTATAATTATAAATCATGAAACAAGTTATAAAAAACTCTAATACATCTAGTTGGTTAGTTGGATTAAGCAAATCCTTAAAATCCATTGGTGTTCCACAGGGGTCCAACTTGGGTCCTGCGTAAAATATGTTCGACTAAAATTTTAATGCGATGCTTTTAAGTAACTTGCCCATTTAGTAGGTGCATCAGTTCACGGTTCTTTAACAATATGTCTATTCCTAAACACTCAAATAAGTTCATTGTGTAACTAAAGTTTGAGTCAAAATACTTAAAATGTTATTTGTGTCTAAGACTTTCCTAGATAAATAACAAAATATTTCTAAATTATAGTCATAAATAATTATTACATTAATACTTGTATTGTGCTTTGGTAAAACATGTTGTTCATTTTATTGGTTTTTCAAAACCATAAATCTACAATCTTCTTCACTTATTCTAATTAACATTAACTAAGTGTATGCCTATTTAGTGTCTTAACATTAATGATAAAATGCTGCATTTTAATGATAAGTACAAACAAGTGTTCTTGTATTGAATAATTATAATTATTGTTTGCATTTTAATATTGTACTGATAGTAACGGTAACTACAAAATGTACTTCTATTCTATTGCAAAAAAAATATATTTACAGGGTGTCACGGTCATTCTAACACGTAAGTAAAATCTTACAGTCAAGATTATTTCAATAATGATTCTTCAAAACACTGCCTTAATGAAACTCGATACTCTAAAATTATATTTTTAAATTGTATTTGATATTTGTTCGAAAAGAGATTCAATACATAATAAATTTAAGTAACCATTTAAGAAATGAGTCTTCGAATTTATTGGTGATAGGTACGGATCAATTCGCAAAGAATATTTTACTTTGTGACAGTTACAGAGAGGTTCAGCAAGTAGCAAATACGTCCTCAGGAATACTATTAAGTAGTCTGTATTTGTGGTAGTAAAAGTAACTTAATAGAATAATTTAAGAGTAGAAGGTGAGCACGGAGGTATGGTTGCCACGCACGAACATCATTGGCGGCATGTCACGGCTCATCATCTCCAACCACGCCATGTATAGCGGGGCAGACACTGAACCCTGCGATGTAACAATAAAAAAATGTATTCCTAATTTCTAAGTTTTTCAGAATTTAGCTACAAGCCTTGGTACGAATGTTAAATAAAATTCTTATGTGGTCCTTAAACATAATGAAATAACAAAGAAGAGAAAGAAGAAAGAAAAAACATTTATTCGACATTGCGGTCTTGCAAGCTAGTAAAAATATAGAAGCATATTTAAAAAGATTTTCTCTACACTCCCTTTGTGGTGCCAAATAGACTTCTAATTCTTTAAAAGCAAAATACATACCGTCTACACGGACCAAGATAGCAGAAAAGAATTAGATAATGAATCGCAGGAATACAATTTGGAAATAAGGAAGAATAGATCAGAAAATTGTCAAGTAAAAAGGTCAGACTAAGTTTAAATACGAACCTTTCGAGGCATAGGCAGGGACATAACGACTAGACGAGCGTCCTTAGAGTTAGCGAGCAACAGCTCGCGTAGCCTCAGCTGGCGTTTCGTCTTTTCTGCTAATGTAAGCAGCTCTGTTTCGCTTATGCAACAGTCTGTGAGAAAATAATAAGTTTTAAAAATCTGTCTCTATTATCAGAATTTTAAAATTCAATGGAACAAATACATAACACATTCGAGTTTCATAAAGCACCGGGCACTCTCTGAACACCTTTAACTTTCAACAAATTATTCAACTACGAAATGTATTCAGTTGGTCAATCTGGTTCGATACGTCATTTTATTGCTCTTACCGGGATTTGCAGATTCGTCAGTGAATTTTTTAGTAATATCTTCAAAGAGTTTCGTGGTTTCAGGCTGCGGTGGGTCGGTAATGTCCTGTACCATCGTTAGTGAAGAGTAGTCTATGCGGAACTTTGCCAGCAAGTTAGCCATACTAGAAATAAATCAAAATATTAGAATAATTGGTAAACAATTTTATGTAGTGGTCAAAATAATTACTTTACATTACTTACTTCCTCTCTTCCAATTCCATCTCATGCAGTCTGTTGGCAAGCGCGAAGATCCTCAGCTTGCAATTGCTCCAAGTGGAACGCTGTGAGATGATGTAGGGTAGCAGGATCGTCAGACCACCATCGTCGTACAACCACCACACGTCTAAGGTACCTGCCTCCTGGAAAAACATTTGACAAATTAGTCATTGCATCGTGCGACACTCTCTTTGCTTAGCAGTCGTGTTGGCGATTCGTATAAATAAGAATGTATGTATATTATGTTTTTTTTTTAATGAAGTAATAATCTATAATGATGGGAATTTACCTGTTTTCTCTGGAATATTGTCATCTGTGTCAACTGGTCCTTGGATAATTCCAAGCCAGTGGACGTGTTGTACACAATCTGTCTATGCATATCATTCTTCTTGTCTTTCTTCTTTCGTTCTTTCGTGCTGTTGGTCTCGGATATCGTGAACGACCGTGAGGTCGACAACGTCAATATACCTGTGCAGAAACATTTGATAAGGAAAATGATCAGCGGAAATTGTGTGCGTGACCTTTAGTACTTAATGAACAGCACGTCCTTGTGCTGTTGTGTTTTACCGGAACAATTCCGGAAAATGTTAGGTTTTTTATTTACTCATACTTACTGTTACTGCGTTGTAAATAGAAGTCATGGATATCTGCCTTAATAAAAGTAAGTACTTACTCTTGTTCCGATGACTTTGTAGATTGCACGAGCGTCGACAGCTGTATCTGTATTAATTCTAAGGAGTGAGTTAAGCTAGTACCACCACCATCCCGAGTTGGATGAGCAGTACTTACTACCAGTAGCGTCTAGTGGCAACGTACTGGAGAGGTTGTGTCGCGGCTGGTCGGCGGCGCGCGCGATGTCGAGGTCGGAGTCGGCGTGCATGAGGGGGGGCGCGCGCCGCACGCGCAGCTCGTCGTGCGACCCGCTGGACGTGCCCGTCAGCGAGCTGCTGGCCGCCGTCTCCGCGCTCAGCGGGCCGTAGTCTAGTCCGCCGCAGACTCGTACTATCGCCACTGCTAGACGACTCTCGAATGCAGTACTGCACAGAACAAGTAGGTCGACATAGTTAAGAATGATGGCTAGTGACAATGTTGCAGTAAAATGGCCTGGAATAGTAAACTTACTGCAGCACATTAAAGTAAGCGACGAGGTCTTCAGCTGGTGCGGTAGTCCAATCAGCCTTGTACCCCATGAGCAGCACGTTGGGCGCGAGGCGGCCGACGCCGGCGGCCTGTACGAGTGCGCGCGCTCCAGCTTCGAAGCCGAAGCCGTGCACGCGCGAGCAGAACGCGCGCACCTTCCGTAGCCGCAACCATTCTGCATCAGCACGCAAGCGTACTGAACGCTCCTTGTATGACACGCGTTCCTGAAAAAAGTCGTGTCCACATTACTGCATTGCTTCCTATCTGACTATCCGTGATTAATGTCTATCTATGCTTAAGCCAACATGTTCTAATTAGTGTGCTCTAAATATCCTAATCAAATTCATTTCGAATTAGTCTATTTACCAAATGTGGTTAACAATTACCTGTGATATGTCTCCCACTATCATTAACGAGCCAGCCTTTGTGATGAGGTTGCCGAGGTCAACTAACGCTGGTCTCGACTGCGGCCGGCCTGCCAGCACCAGAAGTTGTGGCCAGTAGTTTTTGACGTGTTCACCAGTCTTCGCCAAGTTGTAGGCGCTCGACAGAGCTGTCTTGTATATTTGGGCTTGAGTACTGCTGCCCCAGTTTACGTCTGTAATTGGTATTGTGAAATTCGTGTTACTAAAAAGCTTAATTTCATATTTGTAGAAGACGCGCTTGTTGACAACTTCGCGAAATACTTATATTTGGTTTTACTACTTAATTGACATAAATTTACATCTAAATAAGTATAGTTATCACGTGTTTTGCAAATGGATCCTTTCACAAAATGAGTACGAAATGACTCACATTGGTTCACGTGCCAATACTGTAGAGAATTCGTTTTATAATAACTTTCGGAAACGGGTTTATATACAAAGGAACGTTGAAACGTACAGAGGTTACCGATATGCATCAAATATGTGCGGGTAAGTTGCAAATGATGCAATCATTCATGGAGTTCAGACGTCCAGTCCGGATTTAGATCAGGTCAACATCGGCTATTCTGGTTATTCCACTTACACTTTATGGTTTAGCTTAGTTACCTACGTATGTATGTATGTATTTATGTACCTAACCTACGTACATGTGTGGGTGGTGAATTGCTTTAATAAAGAACTAGGTACCCATTTTTGTGAGCTATTGTCTTTTGTAGCACTGATCAAGTAAAACCGTCGTATGGAGAAACACCAAAAAAATTGTAGGATAAGCTAGTACTAGTTATACTGACCGGGATCTCTATAGTGTACGATGAGGTAGAGAGTAAAGAAGATGGCGAAGGTCACAAGGGACATGACCCAGCTGATAAGCAGCATTATGGCCACACAACTCAGGAACCCGATGAGAGACAGCCACACGTTGTAATACTGGAAGCAAAGTATATGTTGAACAGCTTGAGACATTAAAATCTATAATTATTATGTTGCCAGTTTAAAGCTGCATTGAAGGATCAAATGGCTTTCTTTTTTAAATAAATGTTGTTGACCCTGTTTCGGTAGAATATCTTAGATTTTAAATGAATGAAACAGGTTTGCTGATATTAGATGTTTTGTGGACCTAAACTTATAGAATAAATCCAGCCAAAAGCAGCTTCATTCAACTTTTAAATACTGTAGATACGTAAGTAGATGTAAAGTTGTAAATTATTAAGTGCTAATAAAAACAAAATCATTATACAAATAAAATAATCAGATTTCGGCTTAATAGTGATGTTACTGCGAAAAAGCCCTTGGGGTGTTTATTGTATTTTTGTATATGAGTCATTGTTATTGAATTTAGCTTTGAATAACAATGTAGGTATGATATTTATGGTTGTGCTTACTCTGAATGTAGGTCGCCATCCCAGCGGTCGCACGAGTGCCGCGTGGAAGGTGCAGAAGTTAATGAGGGCGTACGATGCGAGGTAGAAGTTCGATATCAAAGGCGCGATCGTGTTCAAATCAGCTGCGGAACAAAATATTTATTTGATTTCCATACATTCGCAATGTAATCCTTGTATAGTTACAAAAAAGTTCTTCAACTTCGTGATTGATGATTGATTGATTGATTGATGATTATGATTTGCAAATATACGATTCCAAATATTATATGCACGAGACGGCCATTGCATAGATACGGGTAGAAAAACTGTGGGAAAGTAATTTTTTTCAAAATCACAAAATTAAATATACATTTCACAATAAATATAACACAATATATAGGTATTGAATTGTTAAGTAGTTTGGTAATATTTTTGAAAGCAACATACTGCCGAATCGATAACCTCCCCCCTTTTGGAAGTCGGTTAAAAACTATATTTTACTCGTACAACTTACCTATGAGCAAAAACAGCAAGGAAACGAAGAAAGTCAGCACATATCCTCTATATGGCTCTCCGTACTTTCCATAGGGCTTGGAGAAGAATATGAGTCCAGGGTAGATGCGGTCTGTGCCCAACGCTTGGATGAGACGCGGTACCGAGAGCAGGTTGGTCAGAGCAGTGGACAGCGTGGCTGCCCAACAACCGCCGTAGATGAATGGACCCCAAGCCGACATCAGTTGCATCACCTGGTGCGAATGGTTAATCAAATTTTGGTTCAGAGAAAAAGAATTAAGTAAACAATTCACTTGAGTCTCTCCTTGGAATGATATAATTAGAGTAGTATAATTATGTAGTTACAAACATGCCATGAGAAAGAAACACTTATTGTCGTCCTAAATGTGGTAGGACCTTTAAAACTTACCGAGTAACTGTTATGCAGTCCATATTTACAGGTGATGTTTGTGCCGTTATTGGTGATGCAGCTGGCTAAACCGCTGTAGTCCACAACAGTGCCGTTTGCAAACACCAAGTCAGTCAGATTTCCACTGGCGTCCCTCAGAGCCCCTCCGCCAGAGAACAGCACCATCAACGCGTAGCTCACCATAGATATGAGCAGGGCAAGTAATGTGCCTTTTGGAATGGCTGACGCTGGGTCCTGCAAATTTTCCAATTTTTATATTCTAGTATAGTGTGATTTGAATTTGGATTTGCACACTGTCAAGGTTAATTTATTTGAATTATTTTCCACAAATTTATCGAAGCGTTTGTAGTTTGGACCTGTCTTTTGAATATTGACGAAAGGTCACCTTTCAAGATCTTATTTAATGAATCGTTGATGAAGTCACCCTCTCAATAATATAATGTTTCACCGATTTTACCTCATTTACGGGGAAGAAATAAATGGTTTGCCTTGTAAATAAATATATCAGCCCCGTCCCGGCTTCGATGAACTAGCTTACTTTCCCAGAATTGAATATCTTGTTTATCATTTTTCCTTCGGCAGGAATAGAGATGACTCACAGCCGACACTATATCAATTGATTTTAATGAATCGATGAGTCTTTGAGCCAAGGAATAAGACACCGAAAAATAGCGAGGTTAATTAAATTGAACTCCATGTTGAGCTCGTTTCATTCGATTTGTGCCACGCGAATTTAACACATTAATTGGACTTTCAAATAATATTGTTACTGGTCGCATCATGTATTTATATGATTCGATTGTTTGACATTGCTATTGACTTGTACCCTGGAGCTGCATCAAAATCTGGCTAGATTCAGTTCTGACAATCTTTCGACTTTGCTCCATCAAATCTTGCAGATTGTTTCAATATCACAATCATGTGTGATGAAAATATTGTCTAAAATTGAGATGTCTGTACAATGCTCTAAGTTAGTGTTTTGGTCAATACATTTTCCTTCCTGCCTTTTTGGTATATCGTCACGCGTCACTCAGGGTAGCTATGATGACACGCTGCGCTGAGAGTGACACAGTGACACCGGCTACTGACGTCATGTGCACAATGCGTGCTTCCCCGAGCAAATAATCGTCACGAATACGTGGTTGAAAAGACCGATACAAATAAAATAAAAATACGATTGATATCCGTTTCGAATTAATATTCAAATCATTTACGACATTATAAAATAAAGAACATTTTTATTTATGTCGATGATAGGTAGTGATTTGCCATTTATAGCCATATTACTTTTAGATGATACTAATTTATTTTTGATATCCATCTTACTGAAGCAGTGGTTTTGAATATCATATTATTCATATTCCATTATAACACGACCATTTATATGGACTATCCCTTTCTCATCAGTCGATAATGTTAGTATTTCAATGATTCATTTGTTTACAGTAAACCCGTGACGTATAACAGTGATGACGTCACGGTGCGCTGTCAATGACACTGATTACACGTGTTTAAGAATGTACGGAGTACGGAGCCAGGGATGTGGACGCTGAGCGTGCGTGCTCTGCTTCGCAAACATTACTTGTGGATCGATTGCAGTACCACATGCTGACATGCTTCCCAGCTTTAAATAGAGATTCTATTTATTTGTTGATTACCTTCTTCAGCATTTCCATTATATTTTCATTTATAGTATTTGTTTTGAAAATATTAGTATGGTAACTGTAGTTCATAGTCATTTTTATTTCAAACGATCTTCCCGTATACGAAAGCCATCGATCTACGTGGCTTATGAACCTAACTAATCATGATCTAAAAATAAACCTTTCAGGATAGATTTCCATTAAACTGTTGAACAATCAATTAAACAGACAACTCCGTAATTTAGATATTACCTCCGCATTAATAACCAGGTGAAGGCGTAGAGTTTCCCTACGAAGGTGTTCTGGGAATAAAATTATAGTAGTAGAGTACCTATATCCAAGAATCAATTAACGATATCTGCAAAACAATTAGGAAAGTGGTGGTCGTGTCCTTAAATTAGAACCGACAGTATCTATTCTTATTATGGGGGCGTTTATAACGAAATAATCTAATTGTGTAGGTTACTTGTTAGTACAGTGTCGTTTTAAGTATTTTTGACTTAACTATTGTTTAATAGATTACAATTTTTATTTTACTGCGATCGGTTCTGCTTTATAAGCTGTTAGCCGAAGGACTGTTTGGAGTAACGAAAGAAACCAACGATTTTTATAAGTAACTAGCTACTTCCGCGCGGTTTCACACGCTCTGCTCAGCTCCTATTGGTCGTTGCGTGATGTTTTATAGCCTATAGCCATCCTCGGTAAATGCGGTATCCAACACAAAAAGAATTATTCAAATCAGCCTTGTAGTTGCGGAGATTAGCGCGTTCAAACAAACAAACAAAAAAACAAACTCTTCCGCTTTATACAATAGTAATTAGAAAAGTGAATTTCCTTTTATTTACTCAACTGCTCTTCTTGAAATTTTGTATACATAGCACCCAGTTTAGAGTCCGAAGAAGAATTAACTTATTGGGATAAAAGCTAAACTTCTTCCATAATAAAATAAGTTTTATGCACTCCATACCTTCAAATCTCCTGAAATATTAGCTCCAGCTTGGATACCGGTGACTGAGGGGAAGAATATGGCGAATACGCTGAAAAAGTCCTGGTTCAAACCCTCACTGAACCGAAAGTCAGGTTTGAAGTTAGCCGACAGCGTGGCCGCTGGAATTGAGAGGAAACTCTTATAAACATCCACTGCTTGTTATATAAACATTATAATTCCTTACTAGTGTAAGGCTGAGGGTACACTACAGGGTATTTAGTAGTCGTTTCGTTTGGAAGGTCCTTCCCTGTAAGTTTGTAATGAGTTGTACAGATCGGACATGAAAATTAGAGATGGAGATACCAACGATGATGAACGGTGTTTCAATCAGCATCTATATATGTATCTAATTTCAACTACATAACTGTTTGATTTAATAGCTATGTAAGACATTGACCAAATAGCATAGAGAGAGGTATAAGTAGAATACAATCAGTAATTCTATAGGTACAAATAAAGTTTACGGACCGTCTGATGGTACGTAAGGTCACCGTGATCTAAGTAGAACTCCAAAAATATAAATATTATTGGTATTTTGTATTTATTTTGTGTTTTGAGCAAAAATACAGTTGTAATAATGGCGAAATTTTCCTTAAATTACTATTACTCATCAATGGGTAAATGACTAATCGTATGACGTTATCAGAAACTTGGCACATTTTCCTTTGAAGATGGATCCTAAAGTCCTAAGTACTTACTGCTTAGTCCGACGAATCCATTGGCCATTTCCTGATCGCTGCTCGGCCCCATAACAGTACCGACCACGAAGTCCACCATAGCCCCCACGATAATGGCTATCAGGAAATTCTGTGGACAAAAAAAAGAGTAATTAAGAGGAAAATATTAAAGATTGTATGGTTTCTTCATTCATTGGTTTGCAAATATCAGAACTCGGTATGGCGACCCGTATTTTCCAAATTTGGCTGTTCCAGTATTTCTCCTTTTTGGAAAGTGAATCAGTGAATCAGTGAATCCATATTTTATAATTTATTGCGCAAATAGGATGATGGTGAAATAAAATCTTGGCACACATTTTTTTTATTTTTCTTAACTGCAATTACATTCAGTAATTGCAGGTGCCTATATCGCAGGTAAACTTTCATAAACTTAAAAAAAAAACAATTATTATACAAATTACAATAGGCATAATCCATAATTTAGATAATCTCCAACTAATACAGAGTGAACTGTGAACATAACTTTACAATCTATACATATAATAAAATTGTAGAAAAGTGCTGTCTGTACATTGAAAATAAAAATAAAAAAAATAGCAGGGGCTATTGTTATGTCGATGTCGAACCCAAAAATGTAACTAACTTTTT